GAAAAGCTATAAGAGAATTTTAATAGTAAATTTTTATATCGAATCTTTAAAAATTCATATATCGATGAGTTTTAAACTAATTTTAATAATTTTACTACTATTAGAATCACAAGAATCTGCTCTACAAGTTTACTTAGAAGCTTAAAAAATATTTAATTAGTAAAAATTTTTGTAATTCGAGTTACAAAAAAAATATACCATCAAGTTTATATATAATTTTAAATATTATACCCTACTCTTAAAGAATAAAAATATTTTTTCCAAATTCAAATTTAAAAAAAAATCAAAAAACTAAAATAACAGATAAACTTAAAAAAAAAACTATATTTATATAGCTTTATAAACAAAAACAAATAAAAACTTTTAAATATTAGCTTTAAATCAAATTAAGTAATATTATAAAATTAAAAATAAATAAACTTTTTTAATATAGACTAGTAATAACTTTTTAATAATTAAAACTAAAAAATTATATTTAGATATACTTCTAGTTTTAGAAAAAAAAAAAATACTGATTACATTTAAACACCAAATAGATAGCTAAGTAAGTTCGAAATTGCAACAAAAAAGTAGTCTTAAAATTAAAAAAAGTAAAATAAAATAAATATATAGCTTTATAAAGTTGAAGTAGTATATAAATCTATATTGCGCTAAATATTTTTTATATATCGATATTATTCTTTTTATCGTATCGAAATTTTTGTAGTAGATTATCACTTGACTTTCGATGTAATCTATTTAGCCGATTGGCTAGAAATAAATAGATCATCACTTGACTTAGTGGTTACTAATCTTTTTAGATTATCGCTTGACTGTACTATGTAATCTATTTACCGATTGGCTAGAAATAATTTGATCAGGTTAAAGTGGGTAGATTTTGCGATAATCAACCAATCAAATCGCGAAAATGTGATAAACTCGGATCAGCCCGACGAAGAAAAACAAGCAAAAAAAGAGAAAAATGCGAAAAACCTAAGAAACGGCAGTCTAAACCCACTTTGGTGAATTAATAAAAAATGTCGGGAAGGCAATTTTACTTATATAAACAACTCTAACCCTAAAGTTAATGAAATAATGTCATTTCACTTATACTGCCCCCTTTAAGGACCCCCTCAATAATACATCATGTGTTACACGAAAATTAAGCTATAAATTTTTATTCTCACAACACACGCAAAAATAACTGAGCATGGACCCGCAAGATCCGAATTCTTTTCGCCATAGATTTTCTTATGTCAACGGAATCATTTATCGCAAGTTTTTTTTATATTATTTTCATAAAATTTATTTCAACTTTTCTTTTTATAATAATTAATTCCTTATTTTATTTACGTTAAATAATAAATAACAAAAAATAGATTACGTAGACGAAGGCGAAGAAAACAATGACGTTATAATATTATGTCATGGGTTCCCAGATTTGTAAGAGTTATATCAAAAAAAAAAAGGAGATAATTAATTGCCAATTCATGAATGAAGTAGTGGCACTAATTTATATAGTAAAAAAGAAGGTTTTTCAAAATTGAAAATTTCAAAGTATCTTCTAATTATTTAATTTTTATCGAGACTTTTTTTTTTTACCAAATGGGTGCTGCAAAGCAAAACTGTAATAATTATAGTTTTAACTTCAGCGAACCTAGCCCTTTACGTAATCTAGTAACTACTGTATTAATTATGTATATCATAATTATATAGGGACTAAGTTCGCTGAAGTGAAAACAATAATTATTACTTACAGGTTTTTTTACAGCATGTTTTTTATATATATCTGATCATGATGATATAAGTAATTTATTTTTAAATTCTATTTAAACTATTAATATTTCACATTGGTGAACAATTAGGATTCGCAAATTATAAAAATCTATAGTAAATTTAGCTACTTTTTTAATATGAACCCTAAACTTCATTCATAGATTGCCAATTAATTTTATTTTTGTATAATTTTTTTTATACCTTTTTTTTCTACTTTTGTTTAGATGGTATGGCTGGCGTTATCAAATTCCCTTCTTAGTATCTAAGGGTTTTAGGGTGATTGCACCTGACCTTAGAGGATTTGGACAAACTGTAAGTTATATATTGATTATTAAAAAATTTCAGGAATTTTATATTTCTAATGTAATATATGTTAAAATTGATTATTAGGAGGCACCTAGATGTCCACCTAACGACCTTCAACAATATGGTTATAAGAATATTTGCAAGGATCTTAAAGAAATAATGGGTCAGCTGAGGATTATAAAAGCAATTTTTATTGGACATGATTGGTAAATATATAAATATTTGAGTGACTATTAGTGAGAACCTGTAACTGTTATCACTATTAGTGATTATCGTATTATATAATCATTATAGTGATAACAGTTTTCACTAACAGTCACTCATTTATAGTTTATCATTCTATTTTAATTCTAATGATGCAATTATTATTATGAAGGGGTGGCGGATTAGTTTGGCGAATGTGTCTTCATTACCCAGAACGAGTCCGTGCCGTAGTTAGGTAAATGCATGATAAAATTATTAAAAAATTTTTCTGATATACGTACCACATTAATAAAAAAAAAAAAAAAAATTATTATTCTGTAGCATTTGCACACCTTACAGTCCACCTAATGATTCATTTCTCAATATTGAATCCTTGGTTGAAGTTTTTCCAAATTTGCATTATCAATTGTATCTTTCACATCCAAAAGCCGAAGTTGAGTTAAATAATAATGTTAGTAAATTTTATGATTTGAAATCAACTTTTTTTATATACAGATTGCGCAATTAATTGTAGTCATTGATTTAAAAACAGCCAGAATTATATTTAAAAGCCACATTTCGTACTTCGAAACCAGATGACTTTATTAAAATTTATGACGGAAAATCTATGACAGGAAATGTGATTGAAGGTATAGAACGAAGCCCTTTGATGTCACAAAAGGTATATATTATACCTTGCCTAAAAAAAAAAATCGGGTTTATATTATCATATTTTACAAATTTTATCAATTTAAAGGAACTTGATTACTACGTTTTAAATTATAAAACTCACGGTTTTCATGGAGGTTTGAATTGGTATAAGACTAGAAAGATTAACTATCAAGATGAGAAGGGTAAGCCTAATTACTGAAATTAACGAATATTTTTTAGAAAAAAATATTTATAATTATATATCTGACTATATAAATTTCAATTTTTTTTAGGAGTTAGAAAGCTATTAAATCATCATGCTCTCATAGTAAGATTATTATATTTATATGTAAAAACAGATTTAACTAAATATACTAATATAAAATAAATTCTTTAGATCACTGCAGGCAAAGACATTTATATTACCGCCAGCATAGTCAAGAATATGCATATGTATTGTAATAATTTGACAACCAAAGTAAAGATTATTATTAATCATTTCTAGTAATTTGATATAAAATTTTAAACATGTAACAAGATATCTAAATAATTTTCAAAATTTTTTCACGCAATTTACAAAATAATAAGCATATTGAAGAAGCAGGACATTGGGTAATGTTGGAACGACCTAATAAACTTAATGAATATATAGGAACATTTTTGGAAAATTTAAAGAAGATTGGAGAGACGTCTCAAGAAAATCAAACTTCCAGAGCAATTTCTTACACCAATTCAAAATTGTAATTTAATTGTAAATATTTCAAGTATTTTGAATTTTCTAATTTATAATTTTATTTTCAATAACTAATTTAATTTTTAAATTTACAAATTAGTGATACATTAATTTTTGTAATCAATCAAAAGATAACTTTAATATGAAGCTAACACATGTTTAGAGATCTCAACATTATTACCTTATCTATTAAATGCCCAGGTACTATTTTGTACATAAAATAATTTGGGACATAGTCTGATAGATCCGTTTAATGCTATAATTAGATTATGATTTGATTAGATATTTATTCTTTATAAAAATTCATCATATTTGTAACTTTGTTCACGTAAATGTAACTTTTAGAAGTTTGTGTCTATTTATATATTTAAAATATTACTTTTCAATTAATTATACACGCGCTTAAGTTTCCACCAAATGTTGAAAAATTGCTATTATAAAATATTGGCTACTTTAATATTCTGATCTGTATAAGCGGAAATTGAATTATTCAAATAATTATTTCTATTAAATTAACTATACGAAAGTTTACAGTATAATATATCAAAGAATCGAATTGTGATTTATAGCAGATTATTATTTTGATTTATTAAACTCAATCACTTTTTTTAGATATATTTTAATATTCTCTCTCATCCGACAAATCCTTTTCACAAACCACAAAATAGGTAATTAAGTTTATTAAATTATAATACATATCGGTAAAGATTCATAAAGAAAGTCATTTTTTATTGACTTTACGTAAAATATTAATAATTAGATGTAAGAGTGATAAATAAAAATGCATAGATATATATTAATAATCATTTAAACTTTATTATTATTAAACATTACTTCCTATTCTTGCTTTAATCTTCTTCGATCTTTATTTAGATCAATATCAATTCAATAATAATTGTTAATAGTTATATGGTGCGTTCACTCTAAAGACGCGCCACTAGTCTTATTGAGCTATTTTTTTATTAAAAAACTTTTACGTTAAGCAAAAGTGTATGCCATTAAAAAAATAATAAACTTTGTAGCCTATATAGAACTATCAAAGCTACGTATGTTTTTTTGGATATTCGTTGAATAAGAAAAACTTGTACCTTGATAAATTCGTCGGCACTAATCAAGTTATTGTAGAAATAAAAATATTTACACTATAAATTGAACTTTATTTATAAAAGCAAACAAAAAAGCATAGGTTGAATAAACTACCGTATTCTACTGTTTTTGAATTTGGAATATTTCATATTCCGACGCTGCAAAATTAGGTATATTTATAATTGCTTTTTCATATGAATTATGCAGACAAGAACATTGATTATTTTGATTAAAATTACTTTCCATGAAAAGATCACAACCAAAAATTGGACCATAATCAAAGCCACTATAAATTGCATAACTTGGATCTTTTACACGACTTAAAACAGAAGATTGAATAGTACCATTTTTTAATGAAAAAATAAAGCTATCATTGCAATTTATCCACTTTCTAATTGACATATCCCATGCAACAGGGTTATATCCACCAAGAATTTCATCAGTATCTTTAACTTTTATAATTAAAATAGTATTTGTTTGCTTATCACATAAATTCCAAAATGAGTCGGCAGTAAAACCATCTCGGGTTCCACGACAAAGCAATTTAAACTCATATGGATTATTTTTTATTGAATACGCTTCAGTTTTCCTATCAACCCATGTTGCAATTTCTGCTGCGTGTGCTTCATTTATAATTGTTGAGAATGGTTCTGTTGATCGTGGTGGTAATTTAGGTGTTAAAATCAATCGAGGTGGAAGAATTATTGATGATATTTGCCTATTAGGGTTTATAGCTCTTTTCATTATATCTTTCCAAAGATTTCTTTCTAGAATTGTTTGATATGGTTCTAAAGTATCAATAAT